TTTTCATCCATGAAGATCATTAACGACGTTTAAATGTGTTCTGCAATATTATAAACTGCAGAATTAGTAATTTATATAGTTTCCTTTAAAGAGAACGATCTAAACTTTTCACTAAACTAATATTTGTGTATAGGAATAATTATGAAGTGCTTTCCCACAGCACCATAGCTTATCGAAGCCATAATATGTTGACTCTCTGCGTGTTTGTTTGTGTGTTTTGGCAAAATACGGCGATAAAGTCGACCGCGGACGTTCACACGCGACTGGGTAGGAGACGCATCTTCGCTGATAACGTCTCGGATAGTCTAATTTCAAACGATTCAAATCCAAACAAAATATACGCTAATATACGAATACATGACACATACATGCTCGCTTTACAGGCAGGCATATACCTAAATTTTAATCAATATTTTTTTCTATGATATAATTTTATAAAATTTTAAATATTACCTACTCCCTTGTCAATTCAAAAGTTATAGATCTCGGTATATTTCATTAAAAATGCAGCCTTTTAAAACAGTTTTGTTGAGGTCGTGCCGTGAAATTTGAAGCAGACGTAAGTAGGCGTCATCCTACTTAACATTGTATTTAAGTTACGTCTCGGACTTAGTTATTTGATAACATAATATTAATTTAAACAACATTTATTTGTCCCTTAAATAATGCTAAAATTGAATTATATCAGGACATTTTTTACGACTTAAATCTCTCGAAGTATTTAAATACTTTGCAGACTCTGTTATTAATTTTCTTTTAAGATTATTAAGAAATTATTTTATTAGGACAAGTCTCATGTTAGAGTTGACTGTATGGTCAACATAGTTCAAAGTAAACACATAGATTAATTCTGACAGTAACAGGTTGGTGAATTACAGGCACCACAAATCAATATAGCGTTTTAAATGATTTCTAGTCTATTCAAATAGAAGGAAATTCATAGTGCAATAATATACGCATTTGCTTATCTTTAAATAAATATTATATAATTATTTTTTATTACCATTTCCCACACTTTCGAATTCGGTACAGTAAAGATTTGAAAGTAAACCTAGAGAAAATTTACGATAAGAAACTGTATGGAGGATATTCTTAACTTGATCGAAACTTAAGTATTATATTCCATTACACAAAGACAGATATTAATCAAGATTGTTAATTAATATTTTTCTCGATTTTGCTGAGTCTCGTTTGTTTTGCAAATGATATAATAGTAATCATAAAAAATACATTAATTGCACAGATTACGTGCACAAATTATACCAACCCTTTTAAATTTTATTACCGTAAATTAGGTATGATTAGCTAATTATTAACTAAAGCTACTGCGATAGCCAGCAACAATTTAAAAAGTTACCGAAAGCAGATAGTAAATTTCTTATACAATCAAATTAAATACATCTTTTGTTTCTTAAATCTGACTTCAATATTCAAAGGCGTTCAGAGGTTTCCTAAGATGACATTTAACGCGTATTTTTTCATATACCTAATCCTCACTAAAAACTCAATTAGAGACTAATTACAGATTGAATTCAACAGTAATTCAGTTAAATACTTCTGTTTGAGACATTGAGGTAAATTAAATAACCAACTTTAGTTTTATGACCTACTAGAAGTCGCCCGCAACTCCGTTCGCGCGGAATTAAAAAAAAACTTAATGTGTTCTTCCACACTATGTTCTACATCTATGCCAAATTGCAGCGAGATCAATATAGCCATTCTTGAGATACCTTTAAACAAACATCCATCTATTTAAATATTTGCATTTATTATATTAGTAAGATTTAGTTTATGTCTCTGTGTTAAACTTTGAACATCTACAAATAATTTCGGTAGTTTTCTAACAGTTGTTTTTTCCGCATGCGCTTTTAATGTTTTATCGCTTTATCAACGTTGCCTAATTGACAGTAAGTGACGCTAAGTGAAGGTAAACACTGGCTACCGCAATGAGATATACTCATAATCTCTTTATATACATATACAGCATGTCACTGTTTGTTTGTCGCTGTTTTATAAAGACGAATTAGTCCGATAGTATATTTGAACAAAAGCAACAAAAATAATTTTAATTTAATTCTAAAATAAAGAAAATAATGAGGTGTACTTGGTCGCTGAACTATGTTTAAAATAGTTATTAATCTTGCGGACAAGCTTTCGTCTTTTAAAATCATAAAAACAACTACTTTATAGGTTGCAATTGTTTTATTGTACTAATAGATAAAAAAAAATTTCATCGTTAAAAAAATGCCAGTTTTGATAATCGTAGCCCGATGCTACGATAGTTTTCGGTTAAACCTCGATCTAATATAGGGTTGCGTTTATTTCGTTATGTTTAATACGATACAATGAAGTAAGCCGGGATATATTATCATATACTAAGTGCTAATGGACACTAAGTGCTACTGTATATCCCAGTAACAGATAACGCGTGTTAGGAAATTGTTTTGATTACGATATTTTGTTACAAAATGACACGATGACGTCATCGAGCAAATAACAAAAGACGGTTTCAGAAATCTATAAATGTTCCTTAAAAAAAGAAAGATAAATTATCTTTAAGTTGTATTTCATTACAGAAGTAAAGAAGTGAGTAGACGGCAGACCTCAAGATATAAGGGTGCGTACACACTGATGTATATAAAGCGGATCGTACAACAATACATAACGATAGGTAAGTGGGTGCGATTAAAACAATTAGCCGGGGATGAAACTGAGAGAGTTGCCGCTTGGTCCAAAACATGAGAGCCTTACCAATGACGTCCACTAAAATAATTAAATGTATAAACGCAAATTTAAAAAATTATGAAATCGTATTGATCTTATTCTTTTATTTCTTAATAAGTTAATAAATAATTTGTTAATAATTAATTTTACTACAACTTTGGTTAACTCAAATATATTATATATATTATTAATTAAGTTATATAATTTTAAGTAAATTCAACAATTTATAATTCGGAGCTCACTCTCTTTTTATACAATACATATCGATGGCTTGCTTTTTACGCAAAAATGCAACCATAATTTTATTACTTAAAAACAAGGACCAATCTGACGAAAAGAGTTGCATCACTTACGTGATCTTTTTATAGAAGTAGCTCTTTTCGTAGAATGGGAAGAAAAGTTTGTATTTTCAAATGTCTCTCGTGGAAAGCTCATGACTTGCGATGCGTGCCGGGGCGAGGGTAGGTGGGGGGTGGCGCGGGCGGCCGTGGAGCGTAATTCGCCGGGTAATGGCTCCCCCGGCATATCTTTAATCTGATCGCTAATTGGATGGAGTGCAGGGACGAACTCGAAACAAGTAATATTCATTTAATTTTTAGTTCGTATTTTTAGGAATTCTTGTAATTATATATGATATTATAAAGGTAGGCTTTAATTTTTTGGTTATGTTATAGATTTTTTATTATTGATAACGTTGAGATTTTGTAGTATTACATTCGTTGTACTAAAAACCTGCTCAATTTTACTATCTTTAAAAGATATTTAATATCCATCAGCGGATAATAGATATTTCTGCAAGTGACTTTAGATTCGATTTTTTTACATAAAATTAATTTCGTTAATTCCCAGTTTCGACTTTTAAGTATACCTATGAATTCTTAAGATTTGAAAAGAAAAGTGTTCAAGTCGTTTAAAGTACGAAAATTAAAATATAAGCATAACATAATATAAAGTGTCTTCACACCCTAAAAGACAGGCAGAGATCCATTTATCTGGCAGAGACTGGCAATTCCGCGCGTCGACTGCAATAAGTGCCCATTTTCACTAATTATTGCAATTAAGAGTCGAGCGACGACGGCGTTGTGGAGCGACTTGTACGTATGTCGTATATAGTCTAAGAGACGTTAAAAGAAAATCGACAGTATTTTTCAAACAATTTTTAAATAAATTTCTACTGTTGTAATTGAATGTACTGAAAGCAATTTATTTTTATTTTAATTTATTAAGATTAGAACGTAGTAACTGTGAAGATACGGAAAGTTACTATGTTTAGTTAGACTGTTACTAAGACGTTATTAAATATCGACTAAGTACTTGAAACGAAATGCACATCATCCAATACTTATTTTTATTATTTTTTTGCAGCCAAATGCACCTATAATAGTAATTGATTTTAACATTTAGTCTGCATTGTGTTTACAAAAAAACTCCTTGACTATAAAAGAGATGCCGAGAAGAACAAATTAAAGATGGTGACGCACGCAACTTAGTGTACATAAGTATAGGCAATGGGTGTAAATTAGTAGAAGGTGGGCGCGAGTACGGTTTCTCTGATGACAAAATTTGAAGTTTAATTAAATTCCATAAAGTTAATTGTTAAACTAACTGTTAAGAATAAGAATTAATGATTACTCGCTTGATTATTTTATTAAAATGTAAGTTTTAGATGCGTTTATATACTGAAAGCGTTAACAAACATCTGTTCAAATTCTAAATATTTTATAAATAATAGTTTTAATCTGTTTCGTGTCTGCAAAACAAATGTACTCGTAAATATGTGGTATACACTATATTACTTTTACCATCGTTGTAATAACAGTAGTAAAATCGAAATGTGAATGTTAAATTATGCGCATTGTAATTCGCAAGCTTTTATGTACAAAAAGCTCTGGAATTACATTATAATTTAATTAATATATTCGTATTGGCATATAAAAACATATTTCGTAAATGGATCCAAGATTTCGCGGCATCAACAATGGCTGCGGTAGAGCTACTGTCGAGTGCGTGAGAGACAGACTATTTTCAGTAACGTGAGAGAAAAGGAAGGTAGAGTCGGCATCGCTAATCAACTCTCTGTTGTCCTCGATGAGCGACCAGGGATGTATTCAGAGTGATTTTATTTTTGTTTCCTGGACTCTCTTTTGTATTTGCATTTTTTTGCGCTTGTTACAAAATTTTAGGATGATGCGAATTTAAAATTGATTAAAAAATTAAACAGAAAAAAGTATTTAAAAGTATAATATTTTTATCGTCGAATTTTTTTTTTATAACAGAAGGGGACAAACGAGCAGCGGGAACACCGAGGTGTTTAACGACGCCCATGGACATCAGCAATACCAGAGGAACCGCAGATGCGTTGCCGGCCTTTGAGGTGGTGATAGGCTCGCTTCTTGAAGTGGAGAATTGGAGTGAAGCAAATATCAATGTGCAATCTTAACACTTTACATGCAATTAATCTTACTTCTTGCTAATATTATAAATGCGAATGTTAAGATGGATGAATGGATGTTTGTTTGAAAGTATCTTTGGAACGACCGAACAGTTTGCGATGTAGTTTGACATATATATAAAACATAGTCTGGAAGAACGCATAGGATATATACATACTATTCATGTTTTTCCTTTCAATTCCAAGCGGACAGAGTCGCAGGCGACAGCTAATATTTTTTATATTCTCGTCGGTTACCGCTTGCTAAGTTACTTTTTATAATAAAATATTGTAAAATTTAAGTTGTCAGACAAGTTAAATAACCTCAACATCTCATCCCCTATAGTCAGTCGAGATTTATAGCCTAGTCTTGTAATTAAATATGATGAGATCGTTATCTCGCTCAAGAATATAGAAATGGATAATTAATAGCAATATTAAAGGTTTATGTGCGGAGCTTTGATGATATAAAATCTTTTATGTCACTATATTTATGGTTCATTTAGTATTTTATCGAGCAAATGTGACCGTAATATAGCGTATCTAACTCTTGTTATCTCGATTATAAATAGAGAATATCGCTTTATGTATGTATTATCGGTGTTTTTCTAGATCATTTTATAGTTCTTATATATTACCTACATCATAGTAAAGTACACATATCTTAGTTTTTCCATACGCATGCGTATTTTTTAAACATTGGACATGCCAGCCTTTGACCGCAAATACGATTTACGATAAGTGATGATGTGGTCGAAAGATAGTACGCGCTGGCTTAGTAAATGTCGTTACATAGAAATTAATATGATTGTCGCATTGTTTTCTTGCAAAAATTACGACTTTCAATGAACATTTTAAGAATAATTTTAATTCGATATTAGAATTTGCGAACACAAATACGTTTTGCGTTTGTTTGATATAGAAACAAACAGTTTAATCACATCATTTTCTTGCAGGTTAAATAACAGGAATATAAAGGTGAGTAAAATAAAACGCATTATATATAGGCTAAAATCTTTAATATTAACAACGATATACTCTACAAGTTACAATAAACTTCCATATAAATTATACAATCTAAGGGACATCTTGCATTCATGTCACGACTCAGCCAGAAACGGCGCACGTTTTTGGTTATAATTACTGACGCCACAGCTTTTATTAACTTTACAGACAACAAGATACACCAATTAACAATAAAACAAGAGCTTAACTATAACTATCCCGTCAAATGGAATCAACTTACCGTGGGTATCTCAGTCAATCTCAGTTTAAAACGTATTGTTATCGCTGTTGTCAAAGATTATAAAAGGGATGACGATGTTTTATAAAGAGATTTCGATGTCAGAAACCCACGGCTAGTCAAAGTAATGTTGGTAGTCAATTTGCCAATGACTACATTGTCGAATATATTTTGAATTTATTATTTATTATGGTTTGGTTTTATTCCAGAAAATCGGTGTTCAAAAATTTTTAACTATATTATATTTTTTAAAAGATTTCTTTGATGTATCTATATATCTGTATGTCTATAATAAAAGCCGTGCAGCGCGTACTACATACAAACTTATACATGTAAGACAGGATGACGAATCCGATCTCTTGCATAGCTCAATGTTGCTTTGACACTGACGTTGAGAATGACTAAAGTTAAGTTACTTTGACATTGACAGTGCCACTGTCATAATCTCACATTGACGATATGAACGGCGACGGGAAAACTAAATTTGATACTAGTAAAACTGACTGATATTGTTTCTTTGAATTTCAAAATGACTGATAAACATTCAAAGTGTCGCAATTACCGATATTAAACCCTGGGTTTCTGAATCAAAATCTCCGTTTAAAACATATTGTTATCTCTGTTTAGTCAAAGATAATGACAAGGATGACAATATGTTATATATAGATATTTTGGTCTCGGAAACCAACGGTGTGTGTGTGTGACACTGTCAATATGAATATTTTTTACTATCAGTGGTATTAAGACAGACAAACAGTAATATTTTTATTATGTTCTCAGTGAAATGGCCGCAATAAAGAAGACTCCAAGCAACTGACTACTATGCATGAGTTATTTCTTGCTTTTAAATTAACTTATTGTACCATTTGAGGAATAGCGTAAAATATTTTAAGAGTCAGTAAAATCAACACTCAAGAGCAAATTAAAAAAAATCAATACAGTTTTATATATTTATTTTTCATTTTAAAAAGCTATTGTATAATTATTAACACTCAAGACAAAATAACTCCTAAAATATTTCAAGTTACACTTACGATTTACGTTAAGTTTAACCGAAAAATATGTATTTTTCAATAACTTAATTGTACAACGCCGCTTCGTAGTTACCTAAATGATGTTAAAACGCAAATGTTGATCCAAACTTACTTATAAGAAGATGGGAAATTAAATAATAGCTTAATTGTATTCTGAGTCATTTTTTTAAGAACAAATTCTTAAGTAAAGTTCAAATGTACATTTGCGATTTAACAAAATTACAAACTACCTTAAGTAAGAGATAAACTTAGTTATAAAATAATTAACAAACATTACGAGAATAAGGAACGTGAATTACAACATTTATTTCCAATTGGTAACCCCGCGTGACATCTGTCAAAGCTGAAATTTGACAGCCATCTGACAGCTATGATGACATTGCGCTTAGTTCTGTCAGAATATATTAATCTTTTCGCATCCTGTGGCGTTTTAATTCACGTTTTTTAATCTGTAAACCTTATAAAAAAAAGATAGGGAATAATAACAGATCGATGTCCGTAACAGCGGAAGGAAGCTTGCGGACATCCGAAAACTAAAGAAATAAAAAATCACTAAGTCTATATGCTTCGCATTGTGTTTTATTTAAAAAAAATGACTAGTTCGCGTTTTATGTGAGATCTTGTCATGTCCGAAGATTCCTTCTACTTAATATAAACCTAGACATATATTTTGTACGGGAGCAGCGAAGAATTTGAAGCCGGAAAGATTTTAATCATCTATTTAATCACATCTATATTTCTTTATAATTTTATTTTAATCTGTAATTTAACACAATAGTGAGTTGTGAACGTATTCAAACATCCGCCATTTTGTTTCCGTGAGTCTTCACAAGCACTTTTATTAAAACATGTCAGATTTTTCAAAAACAATGACAAATGTTTGTGCCAGTGTTTCGACAATGGAAACATTTCTCATCGCTATTCCCGATTATAACAAAAGTCACTGATCTCTATATTTGGACAGGCTATAAACTGTGGTATTTCGTGCCTCTGTGATTATCGCCATTTTGGCGCTGTTGGTTCCGGTTCGTATCGGTGGTGAAGATAAGAACTAATTAGACATGGAATTAACTGTCAAGAACGTCAACAGTCGCGTTTAAGTGGGAACGAAATCAAATTTGCAAGCGATAGCCTATCCATTAATATAGATCAGTGCAAAAAAGTAGATCTACAAAACAGAATATCAAAATAATTTTAAGAAGTCGTATTTCTATATGTTAAACTTAAAAATTGTGAAGTTACAATGCTGTAAAATGAAAAGTAAGATTTTCCAATCAGAATTCCGTACAGCGGACTGCACTTAGTAAATAACAAAAATTATCTTTAAAAAAAATAGTATATGTATGGATTTTAGATCATTAGTCATATAGGAAGTTAATTAACTGTCAAACAAAAAAAACTTATAAGGTAACATTTGCAATTTTTATACTATTTTTTTTATGTTTATTTATTAGTTATATATTACTGTTATATAGTGACTAAAACATATAATTACAAGGAAATATAATTTACCATATATGTTCTTTATCCACTACTCCACTACTCTAATTATTGACTTCAAAAATATTTATTTTACGACTATTTATTTATAGATATATATTTATATATTGTGTACAATATAGCTGTACTTTTTAGGTAATATATTTTTACAATGAGATTGTTTTATGTACTTTTATACATATATAATTTGTGTCTGTGTCGTGTACTCCGCTGTACGGGCAAGGATATGTATGTATGGGTTAACTTCTTTGTATGTGATTGTGTCAAGGATAAATGTCTATGGTTTAACGCCGGCCGTTCCTTGTATCTGGATGTGGTCGCCTCGGATGTCCTAATACTGGAAATGTCAAAAAGAAAATTAACTCTAGGCAATAATAAAAATTATTAAACAAATATTGGTGACCGCGCCATCTATTGATTTATCGATGTCAAGGAAACTTATATAAAATGTTTTCAAACTTTGACGATAGATGTCGTGAATGTAATATTTACCTGGATGTACCGGTCCCGGTGAACGCCTGCACCAAGCACCGGGTGACATCTGACACAACATATATAAATTATAACAGCGAATTTATAAATAATCAATAAATGTATGAAGAGGAAAAGAATTGTCTAATACAAAATTGAACCTTAGGGGTAGAAGTAGGAAAAGTAGTGAGATGGAAAGATTTCAGTTATTTTACTTACTCATATAAATGCGAAATTTTGAATAATAATAATGGATGTATGGATGTTTGTTAGACTTCATCTTCGAAATGGCTTAAGGGATCTCGATGAAATTGGGCATGGATGTAGAACATAGTCTAGAAGAACACATAGACTGCTAATTATTTTTTTTAATTCCGCGTGAACAGAGTTGCCGGCGATAGCTAATAAAGGAACAAAAATAACGATGAAAAGACGGTACTTAAATTTAAAATCTGCATTGAATGAAAAATGGGGACGCGGCAGTTTCCCGTAAAGGTTTGCGTCATATTAACAAATGCAAATCACCTGTCTAAATAAATACGGCGGCCGGTACTGAAACGGTAGCGGATTGAAGTTTCTATTGCGTGGTATGCCGTCGAATCTCCTCTCTCCCTCTGGTTTGGCGTCAAATGACTCCGCCTTCTTGAATGCTGGCTTGTCCTTGTCGTCTCTGTCGTGTCGGCGGCCGCGCTGCGCGCCCTCTTGTCTCTCGGTGCGGTACTGAGGACTGTAGTCGAATGTACGACGACCATCCTGATGATCTGCAAACAGATATCGAATTATAGATAATCCAGTGGGACTAAAACATTACATATTAAGGGTCCTTGATCCCATTTATTTTACTTTATCTTTACATATAGTCACAAAGTGTATAAACCATTTTAGTGTGTCAGTTCAAAGCATAGTCTGGATAGAATATTTAAATACGGAGAAAAACTGCCTATGGCTTTCAGTTTTTCTCTCCAATTTGGTTGCTCTATTTGCAACAATATATTGTAAATATTGTTGCAAAAAAGTAGGAAGGAATACAACATAGTAATTTGATTGAAGTTGATAACTCACAATTATTCCTGGCTTGCATACTGCGTATCGAGTTCACGATAGCGCGTGCAGCTGTACTCAACTGATTATCATCCCTTCTGCAAAACAATTAAATATATAAATATTTGTAATATGACAATAAATTTTAGTTTTAAAAAGTTTAAGGTTGTTTTGGAATATATACTTACCCCATAACTCTACCATTGAAGTTAGCAACAGGATAGTTGCCCAATATACCGCTGCCGCTGTTCCGCCTCTTCCATTCGTCTTTCCTAAAACTTCTATCATCCCGCGTATTCAGTTGTGACATTTGCTCTTTAATTTGTTGTATTTTGACGGCAATTTCATTAGAATTCTGTCGACTTAGATTGCGGACGGGTTCTCTATTTTGTTGATTCTGTATACTTGGTTGATTTTTATCATCGAAATCTTTAGGTTTGTCATCTGGCGTGTTGCGCGCGGAGCCGGCAATGGATGTCTGCTTGGAGAGCCTATTGCTGGCGGCGCTGTTGCGACGCGGAGGCTCGCTCGGCTTGTCTATGACTGGGTACATCGGCTGACATATCGGATACGGCTGCTGGAGCACCTGTCAAATATTTAACGGATTAAAGACTCAGTTTAGGAAGTGTTTTTGTCCAATAAATTAACCTTTTCTTTTTTATGTGTAGTTTTAGAGACTATTAATTAAAATCATTTAGAGTGAACGGCGTGCTTTCGTTACCAAGTCAAGAGTCAGATTGATTAATGAGGGGAATTAAACGTTGATATTTTAATAAGACTAGTGTTGCGCCGATACACCGGCGTAGTGTCAAATTTTCTTTCTAACAGTACAAAAAAAAATTACATCCAATTTGAACTTCGATAAAAAGACTTCGAAAGTATTACGGTTCTTGGTCGAAATAATCAGAATCGGCGAAATGGTCCTCAATTTTTATAGCAGATGGGGGCAAACGAGCAACGAATCGCCTAAAATTATTTGATCCGACGCCCATGGACATCCGCAACGCCAGAGTAACCGCAGATGCGCTGCCGGCCTTAAAGAAGGTGTACGCTCTTTTCCTGAAGGCCCCTAAGTCGTAACTGTTTGGAAATACCACTGAGGACAGGGTACTCCACAACGCCGCTGTTTGAGGAAAAAGTTACGCGAAAATCTCGTTGTATTTATAGTTCAATTTAAGAAATATTGACTTCAACCAATCTTTATATTTCTCTGATATTAATAATATTTACCGGTGGGTAGACCACATTGTACTGTGGATAAACGTTGGGGTAGACGAGCGGGTAAACCTCCTGCACCAGCAGCTTGGGCTGCGTCGGCTGCACGCCCCACGGCACCGCCTCACCGTACTGCATAGGATACACATCATAGTTATCTCTGTTTCTCTCATAGATAATGAGAGACACGACAATATTTTAATATAGTTGTTTTCATGTGGAAAGTATAACGGACATCTTTGATACATACACTAATAGGATAATGTGGCATCTGTTGAGGTACGAGCACGTTGCCGACTGGATACTGCTGCATCTCCACTTGTCCGTACGGCACATTGTAACTGTGACAAACAATACAAACAACAGTCAGAATCTATCGAATTTGATTTGGCACGTCGAGAAAAAGCGTACGTTAGGTCCCGACGTGCCAAGTCAAGCGCCTAGTAGTATAAGCAAGCAAGATTACTAGTTTAGTAAACTTGCTATTATTTAAATTAAGGGGTATAAAATGTTAAAAAAAACAGTGTACCCGCGTGGTTGATGTTGCATGGCGGGGTCGCAGGCGCCTGCGCTCGCGCACGCACCGCACGCCGCACTAAAGTCTGCCGCGTAAGGGTAACTCGGATCTACACGATATGAAATAATTAAAATCTGATAAATGTTTCTACAAACTACTAATATTGGCCAAAGTAAGATGTTGGACAAACTAATAAGTTTAAGTACAAGTATTTAAACAGTTAATACACGACATAATACATGTTGTAGATTGTGGGGTACCTACCGATGCGGAAGGTATTGTCGTTGGAGTGCTTCGGCTCCTCCAGGGACGGCATTAGCTGCGGGTACACCTGCTGCAGCGGCGCCTCCTGACACACGATAATTTAAAAACAATATTAATACCTATACTAATATTATAAAGATATTTGACTGTTTTTTTACATTCAATAGACTCCTACACTAATTATCAGATTTTAAATTTCTTGAAAATTCTTTCACTATTGGCTACGCTATCCCTAGATGACATAGCCTATATTTATCATTAGATTTTATTAATTTCGCGCTAATTTCGTTGCGGGCAACTGCTTATCACTAATAATAGTAATAAGTCAAATAAATTGTTAAAACTTACCATTCGGCATTGATTGACGTAGGGATATCCTTGGGGCATCGGCGACGGATAAACCACGTTGGACATCGACATTGGACCTAAAGACATAGCAGTTTATAAACTTAGATATGACTAGTATCTCGTTTTTGCTTAAACTTTCATCTGTGTACAGCCATCATTTTATACCATAGTTAGTTTCACAGCTGCCCTCGTTTTTTACTACTCACGTATGTTATGTTCGGGCAGTGGCAGGGGTAGAGGCACGGGGAGCGGGGTCAGCTTGTGCTGCATCATGTGCACGTTGCTCATATCCTGCTGTAGGTACGTGGTTCCCAGCGCCTGAGCCTGCACCTGCGCCGGTGACGTCACCTGCACGCGTAAACACAAGCTAATAGCAACATGTTATTTAGTTCCACTAAGATTGTAAAGTATTGGGCGTAGGCCGAGTCGATGGCACTGAAAATGTCCCAATTTTTCAAGTCAGAGCAGTTTACAACCGGCATATAAAACATACCTCGTCATTGCGATATCCCTGCATATAGTTTTGATGATGGAAATATTGGACCATGTCCTGTCCATCTTGAGACATTTTATTTGCCATTCTCTGAGCGATTGCTTCATTTCTTTGTGCGTTTTCGAAGGCTTTCTGTTGTTCCAGTGACGGTGTTCTATGACTGGGTGAGCCGTATTGTTCATATGGTTTCTGAGGTATATCGTACGGCCGTTGATTATCGAACATTCGAGAATTTTCATTGGGGTCATATATTTTTTGCGCCTCATATGACCGTGGTCGAAATTCTTTTTGTTCGTATTGCGTGGTTGGCTGTTGATATTCTTTTTGCTCGTAATGATTGGTTGGTGGTAAATATTCTTTTTGCTCGTAAGGATTGGTTGGCTGTTGAAATTCTCGTTGATTGTATTGGTTGGCTGGCGCTTGATATTCTTTTTGCTCGTATTGGTTGGTTGACTGCTGAAACTCTCGTTGATCGTATGGGTTGGTTGGCTGTTGAATTTCTTTTGGTTCGCATTGGTTGGTTGACTGTTGAAATTCTTTTTGGTTTTCGTGTTGGATGGTTGACTGTTCGAATTCTTTTTGGTGTTCGTATGTAGTCGTTGGTTGAGTGTTTATTATATCATTTTGCTCATATTGATTGTTATCAATTTGTGCATTATCATCATCAATGGTTTCTTCCTGTCGACTTTTACTCGGGCTAGGAGGGATGGAGTTTGGTTTCTCCTCTTGTGTTGATGCCTGTAAATTATTATTTTATTTATTTAAATCTGACATTTTGGTAAATGGATATAATTGTAGCTTTATTGGCTAAATCTTAATCTAGATTAAGAGTAATAAAATAATATCATTGGTCTACACTATCCAAAAAAAAAACTAGGTCGCATTTAATTCTTGTTTGTTACCTCATTGGTGTTGTTGCCGGAGCTGTCCTGTCCCGCCTGTCGCCTGCACTCGCAGCAGCACTTGGTGCGGCAATCCTCCCCGGACTGGCACTCGCATTCTGTAAAAAAATCTTGTTAATATTTGTATACTAGCGGTTGCTTGCAACTTTGTCGCCATAGAAAAAAATAGCCTAGGTTATTCCCGGATACATTAACTACCTTGCAGAAACGATGTCGTCAAAATCGATTTCTTTGATCACCCTAAACCAATTCGGGCTTGCGGATGGGCAAGAAATTTTAAAAATTTGTCTTAAGCATCATGTTTGCGTTCCTAATAGTAACACTTAAAATAATTTTAATTTTTAACATAAGAGAACATGAACACAGCTTTATTAAAATTCTAAGGTTAAGATTGCATAGTGCCGGTTGTCTGGTACAAAACTGGAGTTAATTCTCAAAGCATTCATATTCATGGTTTATAATATTATTTCTACAATAAAGCTTAATTAAAAATAAATCGTATTTACCATTATCCATGAAGGAGTGTTGTTTTTCTAACCTGCCTCTTCTCTTTTCGTTGTTTGGATCAACCTGTAAGTAAAGAATCCATCAATTATACTGCGATTGAACATTTCTGCTTCTGACTGTATTTTGAATTAAATAATTACAATGTTAACCTTGAATTGATCATTGGGCAAGAAGACGTTAGCATCGTGTAGTACTGGAGGGTTGGCGGGGTCGAAGTGGTACAAGCTGCCGTCGGGGTTGGTCAGCGGACGACCCGTCTGAAATATACACAATATAAATTAAATACAGACCTAAAAAATCTTACTAATATTATAAATGCGAATGTTGAGATGGATGGATGTTTGTTAAGAGGTATATCCAGAACGGCTCTCGATGAAAGTTGGCATATATATAGAAAATAGTGTTACTAAAAGTAATGTTTAGGACATATGGTTTCTGTTGTTCATCATAACATAGTTGGCGTTTTATATTTTACAATGATATGAAATGTATGTATATGTATGACCTGTGGATGTATGACTAGCGCGCCGGGCGGCACCGCGGACAGGTCCGTCACCGCCCACACCAAGGTCCCGCCCTCCGTGCACTCCATGCCCAGGGCGCCCATAGCGCCCATTGAGCCAGGCTCTGGACTCGCGCCACCTGGTGACAAATATTAAACATTAGTTTCCGCTCTGATTATGCTATAAAAATGTTTTTGTAGAACTCTTTTGATACAGAAAACCTAGTTATAGTGGACTTACAGCACGTATTTACGGCTGCATCTTTTACCTGTAGGCGAAGGAGTGACAGAGTCGGTGCTCCTCAAACTGAGAGTCTTGTACCCTGAACTAGAGGGAGACAGGCGCCAACTGCTCGACGCGAGGTCACCTGTAACCGATTTAATATTTTTATTAAAAGCAAGAACACAATCGCCTATGTTCTTCAAAATTAAAAACAAACCAAAAGGAAGATGAGAGAAAGAGAGAGAGAGAGAGAGAGATAAAGAGAAAGAGAGAGATAAAGATAGGATAAGGTAGAGTCAACATTAAGCATTTAGATAAAAACCAACAACTTTTAATTTTAGAATCGTACACCAATTTTTTTTTCATTAATAGTTGCATGAAATATAAATAAATTCAATGTAAGCAACTAGTATCATAATTCTCTTCATTGAATAGAACTATTGTGACCTTGTTTGCTAAGCAGGCGAGTGTTGGGCGGCTCCGCGGCGTACCCTCCGAAGCTGTGGCTCTTAGAGACCGGACCGCGCGCAGCCCGCGGGAGCTCTCCACCGCGGCTCTCCAAAGATTGTACCTATACATAGAAAATATCATAATTAATTACACAAATATTACAACTACCTTTCCAAATATATTGTCGTTGCCCTTATTTTCTTTAAAAAGACAAAGACAGTAGTATATTTTATTAAATGTATGGCATTAGCGTAAGTTTAATCATTTAGGGCAGAGAGTCACTATCTTAACTCTACACCATTTAACTAAAATCTACTATAAATCTATGTGTTAGCAGACAAGTTTTGAATTTGTTTTTTAATTATTACAATATCGTATTTTCAAGTAAAATTGCTTACCTTAATAAGTTTATTGCGTCCTTCAGAGGTCAGCAGTTTGACAGGGCCCGTAGCGAGCCACGGCCACTGCGTCTCGTCTTGAGTACAATTGTCCTGAAATACATGTAATTATATAACTTTTAAAACTTACCATACAAAATAAATGATTTTATTATACTAAAAATTTGTAATAGTTTTCAGTGTTAATTCAGCATGTCAGTCTGCGTTCAGCATGTCAGTCTGTGTTCAGCGTGTCAGTCTGTGTTCAGCGTGGTCTCACCGAGCTGAATATGCGTCGTCGCACGCGCTCGTACTCTCTCTCGCGCTGCTCCAGCGACTTGCTGCGCGCCGCGCCCCCCGCCGCCCCGCCCGCTTCCTCCCCCGCAGCTGACGAACGCTTCAATATCGACCTAATTACATACACATTGGTTTAAATTGGTATAACTGTGTGATATTTCATTATTAAACTTTACATTTTTTTCTTATAGTTTTTCAATAAACAGAAAAAATCTTAGACTGTGCTACTGTAGCTGATATATTTTCAAAAATATAACACAAATATTATTATTTAGTAGACTCATTTTTTTATTAGGGTTTTTGTTCGATTTATTTATATAATAAAGTTTACTTGGCGAGCGTATCGTCACGTCGGTGCTGCGGGCTTGCGGGGAACACGGTGGTGCACCATTCCTTGAAACTGGTGCAGGGGATGCGGCCGCCACTCGTGCCTGTAAACCATAATGATACAACACTAAAAACTATATCTGATAAAAAGAGAAAGGAAAGACATATTTAAAATTATATGACACAATTTTATATAATATAAAAATAGAAGCCTACGATTGGATACAATAAATTTAGCGTGGGGCTGTTATTTTCTTATGAAAGTACGATGTATCAAGAGTTAAGTGACACGAGGCAAGCAGCTGTTATACAAAATTGTCGTTATATCTATAAATTACGTATTGCTAAGTGTATACTGACCAGTCTTGGAGACCATGACGCAGGTCTTGTTGTTCTGGTCGATGTGGTGTGAGAGCTGGAAGAGCGCGGCGCAGCGGTGCACCAGCATGCGCCCGTATGACGTCATCACCGGGAACCGCACTATGCAGCGCCTGACAACATACATACGCATTTTTTTAAATTTATTATGCGAAAACAATGCCTCTTAAAAATCTCGTAAAAATCGCAAATGCTTAGATGGATGGATGGATGTTTGTTAGAAGGTATTTCCAGAACGGCTGCATGGATCCAGCTGAAATTTGGCACGCATGTAGAACATAGTCTGGAAGAACACATAGTAATTATTAATCCCACGCAGACAGTGTCGTGGGCGACAGCTAGTATTTAAAAAAACGTCAATAGTGATCTATGGTTAATTTCTCCACAGTTGATATGAAGTGTTAATTTAAACTGGTTATTCAACATGATTGACCACATTTAGTACTTACCCAGTATCATTGACCAGATTATGCAGCTCCTTCTCAATCTTGAGCAGCGTCAGCCGGTCTCGAGAATTCTTGTTCAACGTCTCCTTGATGAAGTCCACCAATTCGGGTCCAGTGGGCTCCAATTTATCGTCTATGTTGAAAAAAAAAAGTTTTTCAAACATTCGTTTACTTTTCTATTTTTAACATGACGATTGCTTATTACATACCAGAATCAGTTCTATTTAGTAGAATAGTCCTTGGTCTCTCTTTTCTCTCCGGACACCTAAAATTATTCAGATTTATAAAAAAAAGCAAGCAAACAGTTAAAATATAACTATTCATTTATATCAATTAATAATTATTAGTTACTGAATTCCAATTTGATATACCGACCTGCAATAATAAGTGTCGTCAGCCTCCAGACTGACAGATTTCTTCGGAACCTCCTTGGGACTACCTGAGGAATAAGGAAACAAAACATATCGTTATCTCTGTTTTTCATATAAAAAGAGAGGGATGTCATTATGTTTGTACATTATGTTTTTGCATTACTTTAGTAAAGTCGTATTTTACCTGTTTGCTCTGAATCTGAACAGTCCGGACACTCGTCAGAGCAGACGATGCCAGAATCCTGCTTCGGGCACACTGGTTTCCGTCGTCGCCCTCTGGATGAGAAAAGACATACGTAAGGTAAAAATTTATTACTTTGGATTCTTTATTTCACGTCGTACCTCACTTAGGGCGAGACTTTTTGAAAGAAGTCAGTTTATTTATGCAAAACATTGCCTCTTCCTCTCCCCACCCTCTTATTATGAGGAATGTATGGGAAGGGGGCGGGCGATTTGATGTAGTGGTCGCATAGAAAGGGGAAATATTCTTTTTCTGTGTGCTCCTCCTCCGTTAATTAATGGTAAATTGTCTATGGGCAACGGTCACTTTGAGGAATATAAGTATTTACTATTATCCTTTATTCGTCAGACGTCCATATTAACTGCAATGGATATGCTACTAACTTGCAGTGCGGGCAGGCTCCACAGGCGCCGCAGACGCAGGCGACGCGCGGGTTGTATGAGAGCAGGTCTGGAGCGCGGCCCGGCCACAACTGCGCGCGCTGCCGCTGCTCCAGCTGCTCGCACTCCCATCCACCACCACTTATCTGATAGAAGAGTTCATTCGAACATATGATTACAAATAATATTTAAGTGAGGTTTTAAGAGTTCTTAAAATACTCTGAAAAGCTAAGATTAGAAGACAGCTGACTGTATTTGGCCTATTGCAAATAAATTTGACTTTGCGAAAAAGTACTAATTTATGTCAATGCTTTTTAGATCTGTTACTACACAGGTAATACACTAAAATCAAATAAAGCCTCAATTTTGTCTGACCTGTATCTCAACATGTTTTTTCCTATCGTCGTCCCTGCCGAGATCGCTGGCGGGGCTGGAGGCATCACTGGCGTCCCCGCTGGCGCAGGGAGCGCGCCGGCCCGAGCGAACATTCGCCGCATGCGCCGGCGAAGTGTGCGGCGGCGACTGAGACTCGCGTATCGCCTGACTACGTACCAGCTGCTTAGTTTTGAAACTCTGTAAAATATAATGCCACTATAACTATATGTTTTATATGAAGAAACTAAAAAACCAGTCGCACGTGTGAATAGATAGACAAATAATTATTAAGTCATAATTACCCGGCTCCTACTAAGAGGTCCATCTTCAATGCAGATATTTTCTACCTCAGAATTCTCCATTTTATGTACCCTGAAACAATTACTATTCAAGAAACGTGTTTCACAAATACCCATATTTGACTTAACTGGAGTAGAGTTTATGTAGATAGAGGTACCAAGCTATTGCCGTCCAATCTATTTATTGTAATGTCCTAAAGATGTTTAATATTTTTGCCAAAGTATGATAAATAATCTGTAATATCGATTGAATCGAACAGTTGTTAGCTATCGTTCAATTTACTTAATATGTCACATAACTAACATATAACATAATTTACCTAAGATAGATGATGACATAGCAAAGTGCTTTCCCCATCGGACTGAAATCGACAAACAGTTGGCGTTGTGCCAATCTTTTGAATGTACTATTAATGTTATTACTTTTAAAAATTCTTGCTCATACGAACAATCGGATACATAAACAATATTCTTACGTTTTATAAATAACGATATAGACACAAAATCTACTAACTTTTAACGCGAAACTTATAGATATAAGCCAAATAAAAAAGTCTGCCATACACGGACTTGTTCAAGCGATCGGAACCTATCACAATACGCGTTTCGCGCTGTTTAATTAGAAGCTGGCTTCTGTTTCGCTGTTCGTCTGTTTTTTTTTTATTTCCGACGATATTAAAGATATAAATTAAATGTATACTCACCTTTATAATCGTATTCAGTATATAACTTCTCTAAAATAATCGTATAATTTCACACATCAATACATTATCCACTGAGAAATATATTTAATTTACACATTAAAGGTGTTGGACCAATGAAGGTATAGACACTACGTACTATTAGAAGGCAACTATTTTTTTTTAATTTAGAATCTTCGTTCAAAAACACTAGTTAAAGCTTTTTTCAGAAAAAAATCTAAAACTCCCAGATGTCGAGGGGAAAAACTGTGGTCAGTTAAAAAGTTAGATTGTCCTTAGATTTCGATTTCCGTGGAACACAGGTTCGGTGTAGCTGTAATGTTTGTAAGCTCGTAGTTTTTCTTTTTTTTATTTTGTTTCGTCAAATTCGAATTTGTTTTAATCTGTAGCTTCACAACCCCGGGGCTCTTGCTAGTGTTCGAATCAGTTTTCAGTTGTGATGGACGGCGCTTGACGGAGCACATTGTTCGATATCGTTAGCAGATATTTTGGATTATTCCAAAACGCTGTAAGACTGATACAAGGAGGTTGATACAACTTTTATGCGATGTTTCTTCACTATCCTCGAATCCATATATCTGTAACAACAAAAAACACATTTTAATGCATAGTTTCTTAATAGTAGGACAGTCAAATGTAACGATTAAAACCTTTTTACCAATTTATCCACATAAATACTTATTAGAAATAAATTCCTACATATAACATAGCCAGCACCATAAACACTTAACTAATAGCTACACCATTTGCTAATACACCGCCGCCGCCAAACTAAACTACCAATCGTTCATTCTTATCTAGCAATCGTCGGTAACGTTGTCCATTGTTAAACACGTCACGAGATTTTATTACTTTTCGTGACAGATTCACAAAAATATTTAAAAGATTTGTTTTTATAATATCACGTATAATGTTAAACGCAATGATATGCTGATATTTTCGCGTAATATAATAAAAATAAATCCGTCAACAGGCAAATCCACGCGTGACATAAATTCTACGTTAGCTTCGTACAAAGTGTATCTTGGCACACCAATCAAATACCTATAACATTTATATTAAGTAACAACTCAATTCAGTAATATCGTAAATCGTTATAATCTTTGATAGTTGTAATATTCCAGTAATACCGCCCACCAACTTTATTGATATTATTTAAAATACTACGGTATTCTTGTGTGATGTAGATTTATATATTAACTGTTAAATAGAGCGTTTGATCACGAAATATTATTTAAATTACTAAACTTCATATTTAAAATGTGACAGTTTTAAAGAATTTTAGTTATTACTAAGACTGACCGTTGGTTTCCGAGATCAAAATCTCTGTATAAAACATTATCCCTGTCAAATCTTTGACAAAACTGAGATAACAATATGTTTTAAATGGTGATTTTAGCCTCAGAAACCCACGGTGAGTGATATTTGTCCGATACAATTTTAATCGATTTGCTTTTAAAAGTATTGACAAAGGTATGTGACAAATACACGCTGATAGTATGCGCATTTAACTTTTAATGTGATGGTGATAATTTTAATTTCAAACATGTAAAGTTACGGTAGAATCATTAACAAAATGTACAACTTCAAGGGATAATGGAAACGAACAGTGCCGTCCCTGACCCAATGCCCTTGCCATACAAGCTGTCAAGTTCGTGACTACGCCTATGCGTCAGCTCTGATTCATGGACTTTTAGAAGTCTATTTTATAAGATAACAGGGATAACATAATAAAAGAAAGTAAATTACAAGGATGGCAAACAAATGGAATGGATTAACCATCACTGGTCAATTCGATGATTTTAAACACAATTTAAGTTGGCAAAGATTGTCATTGTTAAAGGTTTTAACGCTTTGAAAGTTATAAAGAGTTACTAAATGTGTTTATGGTAAGTATAAATCTCACTTGAAAGCCGATGTTAAGTTTTATTCGTAGCCACGATCTTACAGTACCAAGATTAGAATTAATAGATAAACTACTTGATATATCCTTTTACAAGCATATTAAATTTTTTCCTTTCGCATGAATATTACCACCCTATACTGAAACCTTAACTGTCGTTGGTCTGACCTTGTCGGGGATGAATCAGCAAAACTTTCTATGTCCCTTTATGAGCTTTATGCGAAGGCGATATGGTTCAATATTCACAAGCGGTTAATCAAAGTATTGGTCATACGTTTCAATGTTCCGATAGATTTGACCGCTATCTAAACGACAATAGAACCCCTATATCATTATTGCTTGTTACGTTAATATTAAATGTAGTAAGTTTGTTGTTATTTGTAAGTTTAATGTGCTAACAGTGAGCTCCTTAAACCAAAATCATTGTATAAAACATATTGTTATCCCTGTCATTATTTTTGAATATGTTTTAACCAGGGATTTAAATCTCAGAAACTCGCGATTAATCAATGTTATTATAATTCAATGTAAAGAACAAGACTGTTATTACAATTGACCTTAGCAATTTAACTTATAAATTCAACATAAATCATTTCACCATCAATGGACAAATTGTTACCATGAAATATGACAATAGGTCGTTTTAATATTTAATTCAATAGTCAACTATGCTATTACCTTTCCATGAGTCATGTTAATGTAAATTTCAAAGAATCTTGTCACATTTCAATAACAACCACGATCGCGAACAACAAAATTATTAGAGTACTAGCTGTGCCCGCGACTTTGTCCGCGTGAAATATTGTCTGAGTACTTGGACATTGCAACATTACTTTCTTCCTAAAAATAAACGTATCCTAAGATACTCCGTATTAAATCAGCTATCTGCCGTCAAAATCGGACCAGCCATTTCAGATATTAGCCGGAAAAAACAGACAGACAAAAAGAAATGTAGTTTATGTTCGCTCACTAATGAATCTAACGTTGGTCTTGGTAATGAAAGCGCGCCTTTCGCTCTAAATAATGTCTACAAGTAGTATAAATGTATCAACAAAGAGTTTCCACTATTAAAAAAACATGTAGAAAAACATATCTAACATTACCAAAAGAATTACATGTTTCTGTAAACAGTCATAAATCTAACATTCGCCTGTCGATTTAATTATACTAATACGTTGCGTATTTCCGTTGTTAGAAATTCAGGCAGAGGAAATAGCTATTCAAATTCATCTTAAAGACGCCCACATCCACCCACAGAAAGAACGCATAAAGGTTAAAGAAGCACGACCTATATAAGTGAGGATATAATATTACGTATTTTCATTTATTGAGATATTTTTACAGTGCTCTTGATATTGTCTGAGAGCTTATTATGTTATCGATCAGTTACGTTATCTATTTCCATCCTTATACATTCACAGTGGCTTTCATAATAATAAAATTGGTCACGACGTGACTGTAGTTGGACAACACCTGGTTTCCTTCGTTTTTTCTATGGATCAGAATACTTGTTTATAGAAGTACTACCTGACTCAGAACTACTGAATATGCATATAAAATTTCATGAAAATCGATCGAGCCGTTTCGGAGGAGTATTGTCACTAACATTATGACACGAGAATTTTCTTATATAAGATAGACTATTAAGTGTCTACATTGACTGAAGCTATTTAATAATTTAATGTAGTAAAATATATTCCCTGGCACAGGTTTGTTATAGATCCCTTGTAGGTTGCAGCGAGCGTTGCAACCGGGTGACCTAAATCAGGGCGGTGGCGGGGCTGGGGGAGCTAGGCAGGAGCAGGACGCAGCCTCCGTGGCCCGCACCGCTGACCTACTGAACTGAGGTCAATACACAATCATTGCATACACGCTCAACGATTTCTGGATGAGCGGTCGATCATAGTGTTACGATGTTTTGGAACTAAATAATGGTATAACTTTAATGCCAGCTATGACATCTAAACTTAATCATTATAATGCAAACGTTTGCATAGATCTACGGGTCATTTAGCCATCCTGTCTGATCGGATCAAAATTAATTTTAAAACAGAATTCATTCATAATTATCTTTCATAATCAATCCTAACATGTAAATTTCCGTGATTTCTCGTAAAAAGCGATACATTTCTAATGATCTAATAGGGCATTTCCGCAAACCATTTGGTTTTAATAAAAGTCGGACCTAAGCCTAGGCCTTGAGCATGACGGTATAGCTGTCAAGGCGCAAAGGGGAGGCCAAGGGCAAGTGATTCACCGATATGGTTGCAGCTCACGATAGTAATCAGACATTTCACCGGGTTACATGAACAATAATTTGTGGTATTTTAGGTCTGTAATGTGATACGTTATTTGGCCTGTAACTTTACCTATAAAGTAAATTTATAAATGCATATTTTACAACTTTAGAAGAATACTTTTCCATTCCTCTCATTTCCTTTAAAAAAAAGAGAAGGAATCATTATAAACTAGCTGTCCCACGAGTCTCCATCCGCGTAGATATATAAAAAACTTAATTAGTGTAGCCTATGTGTTCTTTCAGACTATGTTCTATACGTATGTCAAATTTAATCGAGATCCGTTCAGCCGTTCTAGAGATATCTTAAAACACCCATCCATCCACATCACATCCATCTAAACATTCGCATTTATAACATTAATAATAAAAAGCAGCTCTTCAAGGCATAAATTCGAGAAAAAAAACGAATAAAGAGTATCCTATCCTATCCCTGTCCGTCTCCTGTCTACCTCCTCACCAATTTTCAGCCATATCGATAAAGCCGTTCTGGAGTTATAAATAGTATAACTAACACGACTTTCTTTTATATATATATGTAAGATAGATATTAACGATACTGTTTATACCAGATTCCAATCGCAACTCAACCACAAGCAAACTACAATATAAGCTACAACTCGTAAATTACAAAATATTTTTCGATCTACACCTTAAAATATTTTATCACTTCCTCTCACAATTTGCACGAAAAACAAAAAGGATTGAATATCATAATAACCGCAATGTATGTAATTTGACTAATTTAGTTTCAATCGAAACGTACGTCACATTATGTTTGAACTGGAGGTTCCCACCAATAAACAGTGAAACTTGTTAAAAATTATTACCACTTGCACATATACATCATTGCATTATTTATTTAATAAAGCAAAACGCAATTAATTCAAGCACGAGTAGGGCATTAATCTACTGCGCCGGCACTTATTTAGAGTCGATTAGTTCATGTTATTTTAAGACGTGAATATATTGAGGACGCCTTCCCGGTGCGATAGGTACATTGTGAGAGCAGTTTGCTGCAAAACAACCGACGCGCTTTGTAAACAAAAGACTAACCGTGGGTTTCTAAGGCCAAAATCTCCAACATATAACTTGTGCCTGCGGCTCCATCCGCGCAGAATTAAAAAAAAATAGTAGCTTATTTTTTCTTCTAGACTATGTTCTACATCTGTGCCAAATTTTAGAATCGATGACTTGATTCCGCATTTATAATATTAATAAAAGTAAAATATCGTCATCTCCGTTATTATTTTTGACCAAACAGAGATAATATATTTTAAACGGAGATAGGTTTCAGAAACTCACGGTAAGATGTGTTTACTTTCTTAATAAATGTACCAGACAACTTGATAACAACGTAATGGGGCTGTGAAAATAAT